TTTAGTAGACCCTTTCAAGATTAGCGAAGTGAAGAAAAGGTGAAGAAACACAAGAACGGAATAAACAGTTGCTTTTAATCACCTTAATGTACCTGAAACGCTTGAATAAAATGTACGTCGCATCATTTTGATACTGTTTACATTTTATGCAAGTTTTCATAAACGTGTGGGTTATTAAGAGCCACTGTTTCCTTAAGGTGTTGTTCTTCACCTTGTTTCTCACTTTGCTAATGCGTAAAGGGTCTATTCAATCAATTGGTTTTAGTTTATCACTTATCGAGTTAAAGAGCAGATAACGGTCGGTGGTCCATTACCTGTGTTCCTGACCTTTCACCAGCGAGTGACATATCAAAGGGTGCTACAAAAGCTGTACAACATTAAGCATAGAACCAGTGAACGCGCGTTGCTCGCGAGCCGAGCCGTATCCAGCAGCATCCAGCATCAGCAGCCAGCGTGGCGCAGCCATTCGGGAAGTTTGTTGTTGTGTACAGCGAGATTTCTCATACTCGTAGTCATTTGCCTTGCGTATTTCTCATAGTCCCCCAACGAAACAGAGTCAAACCGAAAGTGAATGTACCTCTCCGCAGGCATATTTGTTTGTTTTGCTTTAATGTTATTTTCGGTACCGAAAATTCCGCGTCCAAACGCTGCTGAAATGCTTGGAAAATAGCGTGAATTTGGGGTGGGCCTTGGCTGCGCTGCTTGGAGCGCCCGCCTCCGCCGCTCGGAGCCCCAGCGCGACGCCGCGGAACGCGACGAGCGACGCGTGAAAGCAGTGGAATATCGATCCGGTTAGGCCCCTCCGCCACTCCTGCCAGGCCCTGCCAGGCTGCACTTTCTTTGTCCCGGGCCGAGAGGGCTGCCGCCGCTGCTGCTGCTGCTGCTGTTGCTGTCAAAGCTCCGTTCGGCGGCTCGAGGCTCAAGAGGCGGAAAACCCTTTCCGAAAACCAAACGTCCAGAAGGCAAGACGGGCGTCGAAATGCGGCGGTCCGATCGTTCTCGGCGTGTGCCCGCCAGGTGAGGGAGATTCCATTCATTCATTCATCGGGCTGGGCTGCTGGGAGGGGCTGGGCCCGTCGGGCCGCCGCCACTGGGTCACGGCAGGTGCACAACGCCCACCAAAGGCACTTCCGTGTGCGGGCCGGGCTCGTTTGGCGCCCTCAAACAGCCTCGAGTTGGCTTTTATCGACGGCCAACTTGATTTTGCGCGTCTGGGCGGCGGTCCCGAGGCCCGGAGAGCCTTTGTCACTCCGTGCCCATTCATTTGACAGACAATGGAATGAGGATGTCTGCTCTCCCAGTGCCCGTGTCACTTTCTCGCTTTTCCTTCATTTCTGTTTCATTTCTTCAGGTATTCACCTACTCTGGCCGCTGTCAAAACCCTGTTGCCTCAGAAATCTGGCATTGTGTCCAAATACAAGTCCAAAAACATCAAATCTGTCAATCCTGGAAAGACAGCTGCTGTGAAAACTACCGCTGAACTCTCGTCACAAGGCTCCCCAATGGCCCACCGCAGCAGTGAAATCTTGTCGAAATATGCAAAACCAGGTGAACCATCCATCGCTGAAATATTCGGAGCAAACCCGGATAGTGGGAGTGGTCAAGATAACGATGCGCAGATGGAGGAGATTGATGTTACTGGTGAAGAAGAGCCAACCAAGGTAAATATGATTTTCCTAAATATATTCTAAACTGCTTCCTCTTCTCTTGAGTAAAACTAAAATGTTTATTTTTCTACTGAAGGAACCACCTTCCTGGATTGAAGCCGGCCCACTGGAGGCCAAAGCAGCCCCAAGTCAAGCAAAAGTGAAAAAGTGCACTGGAATACCTAGAATGGGATATGGAGACCTCATATCTCAGACTGCAGCTTTACCACGGTCTTCATATCCTATACTTGATACCTTCATAGAAGGAGCAGCTACCCCAGGAGATAAGCCTGGCCAAAAAACTCTCGCTCCTCAGAAGAAGAAGCTCATCCAACAGCACCTGATTTTGCTGCTTCATGCCTTCAAATGCAACCGAGCTGCCTCCACCAAACTCCCTGTACGTATATCCTCGTTCATTTTTGAAAAGTAGAGGATTTGTAAATTACTTTAATTTTGTTATTGTTGTAACTCTAATGAGATATCCAGATTTGCTTCACTAATTCCTGCCTCTGTCTTTGCAGTGCCCAATTCCTTTCTGCAGTGTAATGAAGAAAGTCCAGTCTCACATGCGACAGTGCACAGATGGGTATAATTGCAGTGCTCCTTTCTGTTCCTCGTCACGACGCATCATGTGTCACTGGAAGCAGTGCAAGACGCCAGATTGTGTTGTCTGCAGTCGCTTGAAGTGTATTTATTTGAATAAAAGGAAGAAGGCTCTTGAGAGATTGAAAGCTTTGGGCATGCCTCTGCCAGTCAAACAGGCATCAGGGTCAAATACTGATGCTACTGTTGCCAAAGTAGCTTCTCCAGCTGCTCAAGGGAAACCTTCTCCTCTTGTTAATGCAGCCTAAGTTTTTGTAAATTTAAAAAACCATTATCATTTCATCTCCATCATGTCACATGTATATTCGTGCTATTGCCTTTACCCGTTTCCATGCAAAATGGAATTAGAGGCTATGACCCACTCTTTCAAAACTTACGTAACTCTTAAATTGTGGAAAACAATTTAGTTTGTTGCTGGTAATTGACTTCTTTATCTTATGCTTTATTTGGGTTTAAATCAGTCATAAAATAACAAAATTTTCTTGTAAAGAAATCTTATGTGATCTGAGAACATATGTGACCTTTCTCAAATCTATTTATGATGGATGTTATACCCTCCCTTCATCACTATCATACAATTGTATCATTCATGAGTGTTTAGTTATACTCTCGATTCTGAGTGCCATGTTTATTTCTATATTAGATATATGATTGTTGCACTTCTGCACATGCATCTTCAACATTATTTATTTGTGTGAGTATTTCACATCATTTAGTCAAGAGATACATTACCAGTACAATACATATGTCAGATAAGGTCTAAAAGCTTTGGCCTGACTTGTAGTGTGTAGTATACTTTTCTGTTCTAGAAACTTGGTATTGTTTTGAGTCATCAGATTTACAGCTGATGCTCCTCATATTCACCTTCATAAAGTATTATAAAGTATCTTAGATGTTGAATGAAAAACCATAAGAGTTCAACCAGTGTATCTTACCTCTGTGGAAAGTCTTTGACTTGAATCTTGTAGCTAAATGCTGTAGTCAAAGTACTGTTGGCAAAACTGGCTTTGTAAATTGCTAACTGTAGTGGGTCCTTTAACTTATGACTCACTTTGAAGACTGTGAACACATCTTCATGATTGATTTCTTTCATGCTATATGTGTTAAATATTAATGAATGTCTGACTTCTTTCCACATTGTAGGTTTGGTGGCATACTATGTCCTCCATTGAGAATTTGTGAATATGTGATTAAACAAAGGACTGATGGACATGATTATCTTGCATGCATCCATAGTTGGGATTGCAGTTTTGTATACTTTAGAATCATGTTGTGAAAGGTAGTTTGAATATTTCAATCACCCTTATCATGTGTGGTAAATTTCATATTTGCAGTCTGTCATCTGCCATCTATGACAATCTAGGAAATGTAAAGTAAGAAGTAATTTAATCTGCTTATTTCTATGTGAAGTACCTTCAATGTCACTAGTAGCCTCCACAATTATGTAGGTGGTTGCATATAAACCTATCTCATAATTATAGGCTTATGATCTGACTAGACTTGTGGCTGTGTAGTGTCTTTAGATTTATTTATATACTTTTTGTTGAGCTTTATTGAAATTTATTATCTCCCCAATTTTAATACCAATTTATAACGGTTCAAGTTGTTTATGATGTGTGCGTGGATTGTAGTCAAGGTTTTTAATTTGCTTAGGAAAAATTGTTTTTATTTATGCACTTAGCAACTTTGAACATATCTTTATTTATCATGATTGATCAGCGCAGATTTTTAATTTTTTTTATTAGATTTAAGAAATTATTGTAAGTGCTTTATTATCTGAAAGCAACTAGGACATTATTTATGGACTAGAAAATGTTTTAGCAGTGTAACTCTGTTTGAGATTGAAATCTGTGTGTCTTTGTGTTTTTTATTTGTGATCTGAACTTTTTCTTTGGAGTTATGATCTTTAAGGTCTCTTGTCTAGATGCAAATTTTGTGTTATGCTCCCCCCTATTTATTTTTATTGTCTGACAGTAATGCAATGTTTAACATCTCAATCTGAGTTGTATAGTGTGTCCCATTGGCCCCATACTACCTCTATGTACTGTACTGTACTGCATGCAGGCATGCGGGCGGGCTTGCCTACTACCCACACTCCTGCATTCAACACAGTTTAAACAAACAATAATACAGGGTCGATGCGACACCCTGAATACTAATGTTTAACTTGCTCTGCTGGTGTTAACAAAAACTTACTCCACCATAATTATGCAGATGAATAGGAAAATTGTGAAGTTTATTGTTTGCAAAATGTTTGTCTGGTCCTTTAATGTGTGTATTTGCATGAAAATGTGTGTCCATGCCCTGCATGTGGGTGTGTTGTCTGAATTCTTGTCTCAAGGCTTTTGATCAGAATCTCTTTAACTTATGAATTTAGTTTGAAGTTTTATTGAGAATGAAAGCACATTAATACAATTTATTTAAAATTTGTTACCATTAAACCAAAGTATATTGTCTATTAGAACTAATATGAGGTAAGCTAACTAGTTAGTTGATCTTCCTAATGTGATATAAGATGTGTTATATGTTTATCATCAGATTTTATTAATTTTCATCTGATGCGTTAAAAATTGCAGTAAATTCAATTATGTGCCATAATTTTGGGTGGTGGGACCATAATCAGCTGATCAGAGCTTTAACCTGCCATCAATAATGCACAGAAGTAATTTTCTCTTTAACATAGTTTTGTGATAAAATTTAATTCAGTGAGTGAATTTTCACCGACACATATTTGGTGTCCTGGGTTATCATTTAATGCCCTTGTGTTTATTGTTCAATTGTAAACCTAAACTTCTTTGACTTGGTTCAAAAAAGGAGCATTGAAAAATAAAATTAATAAATTACCTTGGCAGCTGGTTTGCTTATGAAATGTAAAGGGAGTTAAAGTCCTTTATAAAATTAAAATCTTTTAGACAAATATAATTACATATTTACTAATTAAGTTCTCCCTTTTGAAAACCAACAAATCTACGTTGGCATCAGGGCCACATGTGATGACCCCTCTATGTGATTATAATACACTTGATTTCAGTAATAACGCATATCAGAATCTACTCATTGTCGTCCCTGATAAGCACTTGGTAATTGCTCGTGGAAGCATCTTATATTTCATCAATAAAATCCTCAACTGCTGTATGAATCAATTCATACAATAACCAGGGAGCACACCGAATGGATTTTCATCAATGGCATTGAGAATTTTTCACTAGCATATCTGATAAAGCGCTGATAAGTTGCTGATAATTACATTACCTACCTTAGACAAAAATCATGTCAATACAAATTTAAAGGAGTTTGTATTTTATGCTTACCACCCTACAAATATCTTTCTTATAGCTTTACCAGATGTTGAGTACAACTTTTCTTACTCCTTTTGGATGTAGAAAGAAATGAAATCTTATAAAATGATGTAATCTTATGTATATGAAAAATATTGTGTTGTAATACGTAATTCCCATGAAGAATCGTACTTGTATAATTTGTGTGTGTGAATACCGTAGGAATATGTGTACTGCAGTATTTAGAATGATCACTTAAACTCTTATCACTTTTAGTTCTTTTCTACCCTATTATAATCAGTATAATTGGGACATGTCTATTGTCCTCAGAATTTGTCCATCTTGGTGAGCAGTTTCTTCATAATAGCTTGAACTTTCTGTTGTGACTATCTTGTCCATAGGTGCATGGAACTGAATTATCATTATCATTGTCTAGTGCAAACTTTGTTTGCCAACTAACTGGTTCTTGGGAAATTCAATGAGTGGTGTAGAATTAAATGAGATTCAAAAATCCTTTGAAAATAGTGTATTTCAAATGTGTTTTTAGTGCAATACCATCTCACTGACACTCCTGGGACGGAATCCTAATTGACATAGAAATGGCCCACTAAATATTCTAGTAGCATGGAATACATGATCCTGTGGGGGGCGCCCCGATACCGGGGACGTCATTATTGGGGACCTCCCGAGCACGCCGATGACACTCCCACGACAAATACGGTTCGGCTCCAACCGTGTACCTGGGCTGGTGCATATTTCTTAAAAGTCGCCAAATATAAATATTATTAATAGCAAATCGCCAATAACAGTTTATTATTCCGATCATTTCACTATTGTCACATGGCACTTCCCTGGCGTTGCCGCCTGGAGCCACACAACGATGCACGGGACGGGAAGCATCCCCAAAGGATCACATCCTGGACAAGCGAGGCGGATTGCCTACGTCCCCGCGTCCCCAACCCTACCCCTCTCCTCCTCCCTACCCCGCTTTCCCGCGCCTTTATGGAAACGTAAACAAACATTGGAAATCGGAGTCACCTTGAGAAAAGGCCCTTTCTCAAGGGAGTCACGATCGGCGTTTCTGGCAAATACCGATAATACCTACATTGGATTTTAACCAGAATTTTAGAGTGGACATCGCCGCTTTTCGACATTAATCGCAAGGTATAGTGCTTGATTGTTTCCGGTCCGGAATATTGAATTGTTCCATTCCGGTTATTGTTGTAGGAGGTTAGTAGTGTGCTCCTGTGCTCAATTTTTACACGCACAATTAAGTTGTAAGTTATTTTTTGAGGCCGAGTAAATGATGCCCGTGATGTAAATAACTTGGCTCACTGTCAGCTTTGTTGAAAAGTTGTTGAATGGGGACATTCCTCCAATCCATGCCGTATGTTAAATACTAGCTGTTGTAGGTCACGTACGCAAATGGGTGAACTGCCAGTGTTTTATCACATATCATATATTTTACTCTATATTATTCTCGTGGAACAGAAAACTTTATTACTTTCTGTTTGGGGTGCAAACCGAGTGGTACTATTTGCGTAATCCCCCAATCAATCAATGTGCGTTGCAGATAATTTGCAGCTGCCCCTTCGTACTTTATGCTTATTAATTATATGTAATTAATAGAAGATGAGCGCTAAAAGTACCGTTTAATATGATTGCAGGAACTCGGCCCAGAAATGTTCTCGACATATGACCAAGAGAAGTCTATGGAGTCATTTTACCCAAAAGAATAGGTGAGTTGACATGACAGTAACGGCCAACGCTGGTCCAATTTGTTTCTGTACAGACACTATGGGGAGCTTCCTTTCGTGTGCATCAAAGGGTGGTTTTTGATGTTTTTTGTGGTGCCTTGGTTCTTTGTCGATTCGAATACTCCTCCATCGAAATCCGGACCCATCAATTTATAGCCTTTGTAAATTTTGCCAAAAATGAAAAAAAATTGAAAATCCTTCGAAATGGTTGGGATTGGTCCGACAGCACCCCATTTCAATCTCTCCGTTGAGATTTCGCGCCGCCGGTCCATTTCAAGTGAGTTACGCCTGTTTTTCCTGGACTTGTTCTCCTGCGAGGTAGGCAGCCCATCGTACGCTGCCCGCCAGATTCAAAAGACCTCCACTTAAAACGCAAGTTTCTGTGGGCAGGGGTGGTTTCTGGCTAAAACAAAAGTGGTTTTGTGGTTCCTTGGTTCACCTCTGTCGGTTCGACTACTTTTCCGTCGAAATCCGGACCCATCAATTTTCGCTAAAAACACAAAGGCTATAGCCTTTGTATATT